CGTATCCTACTCATGTCTTGTTTTTATTTTATGAGTAAGCGTTAGTTCTACTCTTTCATGTAGACCTTCTTAAAGGTCAATTTTTGCGAAACTATGTACTAGTACCATATTATCAATGAAATGGTTATGCATTTTTATTTCATTGGATGTTACTGTTTGTTATGCAATTGTTTACTTATAGTAAATTTCATTTGTGAATTGCTTGCAAATTTCAATAACAATAACAACGAGACCTAATACCTACAAAACATGGCATTTCATTATGGTGATGCCCGATTCATAACTTTTCTCAAAAACTTATCGTCATTCCACCTTTACAATTTATGGCAGAAGTATGCCACCAAGGAAGTCAAACAAACACAAGAACAACACACCAACAGCCCCACCACCGCCACCACATCCACAAATGGATTTTTGTTGTGTTCCAGGCAGCCGTAACAGTCGTTGTGGCTGCTGTTGTGGCCCAAATCAACAGTAACAACAACGGAGGCGGAAACGGGATTGACAATTCCAATCAGGGAGAAAACCAAGGGCACCAACGGATGTTCTCATACAAAGAATTCATGAACTGCAAGCCCAGGACGTACCATGGTGACGGCGAGGTCGTTACTTTGACAAGATGGTTCGAGAAAACTGAGTCCATCTTCGAAATTTGCGCCTGCCCAGATGAGTTCAAGGTCAAATACGTCGCACGTACATTTGCGAACTCAACCTTGTCGTGGTGGAACAACCACGTTAAAACTTAAACAAATAATGAAGGGGTAATAAAATAATTGTTTGGTTGCACTAAATGGTAGTGCATGGAAGTATGGTAAAATCCACATGGATACAATCTAGAAGTCAATGTTTTTTTACGTAAGACACATACTAGTCAAAACAATAAAATGAAAATGGGGCTTTTGTTTAAAATTATAAATAAAAATGCAGTGAATATGTAACATCCAAATTTTCAAACCAATTTTTTTTTCATTTTAATTTAGATACAACATTGTTTATAAACCCATATTAAGCAAGCATAAGTGTCAAATACAGTCATCCCACAATATCAGAGTATCAAAACATCCGGAAACACAGTCTGCAGGCGAATGTGTACAATCAAACATTCGCCTTTTCGTGATCATCTGGTGTACCCAAAAAACATTAATCAACAACCGTAAGCACAAGGTTTATTAAGTTCCCTAAAATACCACATACAACACAACACAAAATAAACAATTATAGGTTATCAGCAACCTTGAGGACTATCAACAATCCAAATGGGCTAACAGCACGTCCGGTGGGTTTTTCAGCAACCCTGAACACTATCAGCAGTCTCAATAGGCTAACAGCACACCCAGTGGGTTATCAGCAACCCTGGAGACTATCAACAGTCCCAATGGGCTAATAACACACCCCGTAACACATAACAACAATATCAAGTAAGACCCAGCTGGTCAGCATGTATACATACTATGACATAGACAATATAGTGAGGAGACTCACCTCTCATAAAAGACTGATAATCTCACACCCGAATTGCTCGTATCATCCAAAATAACCGTAATTAACAACTAAGGTAATTACTCAAACTCAACTAGTCCAAATACCAAATCTAATCCTTAAATGGACAAAAGACCATTTTGCCCCTTCCAAGTACAATATCCTCACAGTTAACCAAAAAAGTCAAACTCAGTCAAAAAGTCAAGGTTAATCCACTGTTGACCTTCGCACCACGTAATACAGCTCTACGCATGGCGTAGAGCACCATGCTACTTACGGGCTCCCAACAGGCTACGCAGGGCGTAACCTAAGTTATGCACGACGTAACCTGCCAACTCCAAAATCCAACTTTAAGCTCTTAACTCATTAAGACCTTTCACCCAAACCTCATATTTGAACCTAAAAGGCATCGTACTCCATACAGTCTCCAAGTTTATGCCTTTTCATGGCTAAAGAGAGCTCAGATCCAAAACCCTAACTTATAACACCATATGAAGCCCCATAACTATTGCATGGATGGAAGGGAGGGACCAATTTGCATTTTTATGACAACATGCACTAAAAAACGTCTGAAAGGACAACTCAAATGGTCTGGAATATTCCATACTCATTTAGAACAAGATTATGGGACAAAAAGAACATAAACTTGTAACCTAACACGATCTAGTAAAGTATGCCTCAAGGTTTGAACTTTATATCTTCAGAAGATGAACAATAGGGTGTAGGTTCTAGATCCAAAAGCTTGAGTGCACCACAACTTCCACAATGATCTTCCGTCACCACCAAAAGTCACTTAAAAGCTTCAAAAATCTCTCCAAGGAATCGGGGTTTCAAGGTGAGAGCTAAAAGGGATGGATGTTGGTCATAAAAGAAGGTCCTTGAGAAGATAATGTCCTAAAATAGGGGTCACATCCCCAGATTTTAGGGTTTGCACCCAGGCCGAGTACGCCATGTGGACCTCTTACTTACGCATAAACGTAAATCATTAAAACCCGCCACCTACTTAACCTTCTACGCGGCACATAGAGTCTATCTACACCATGCGTAAACTTAAAACCCACAAATTAAAACTTACTAAATAAAGAAGGGATTTTACCTAAAAGGATCGGGTGTTACAAAATAATAATGCATAAAAATAAACTTGTGAAAATTCAATAATAAAAGACGTTTCAATTATGTGACGACTCTCCTAAATCCATATATGGTTGTTTAATTAATGTTATATCTAAGTTGGTACCATGGTCGCAGAAATCGCTAATCGGCCGCTAATCGGTGGACCAGCGATTAAGGATTAATCGGTTAGGCGGGGATTAATCGAGAGATTAATCGGGGACCATTCATTATTAAGGAAATTATTCAAAAATTTATAAATCTAATTTTAATCCTACAAAAAAAGCGATTAATCGGCGATTAAGTCCGATTAGGGCCGATTAGGTCCGACTTTGATCTGCGTTGACCAAACCCGATTAGGTCCGATTAAGTCCGATTAGGTCTGATTAATTCCGACTTTGACCTGTATTGACCAAACCCGATTATAGTGACCGATTAGCAATAAATGTCATCGGTGGATGTCCGATTAGCGATTAATCACCGATTAATCGGCCGATAAGACCGATTTCTGCAACACTGGTTGGTACTGAAAACTACTAACAAACTATGACAGTTCTTTTTTACCAAATTATTTAACTAAAATAAGCTTTTTGAATTAAATTTGACTTTTAACTAACTTACTCAAATAAGCTATTAATTAAATCTTAAAAGTTGCATTATGATCTATGTAAAGTTTTCATCAATATTCAATTCTTACACATGTATCATATACTTAGTTGTCTGAAAATAAAGATTATATCTTGATGTATGTTTAGCACCTTATTGAGTGTATGTGAGATGAGAGCATCCCGACGAATGCTTTTATATTCTTTTTATATTTAGTTCATGGGTTTTGTCCCATAGGATTTACCTTGACAAAGTTGTTTTTAACAAGACACAAAGTCTATCTCATTCTTACAAAGGATTATTGAAATGAGGGAAGTATCTAGTTGAGTAATTTTTAACTATTATGCACTCGTTTGTCATTCGTTTAGAGTTTTTTTTAACCCAATGAGTTTTCTAACAAGGTTTTAATACAACCATGTATGATTATTTCTCTCGCCTAAGACATCCAAAATCATACTCTTTTTATACTTACATGAACAATAAAAATAAAATGTTGGAAGGAATGGTTAAGTTAAGTTAGTTTAACGTATATCGATGACGACAACTACATCATATAAAAAGATATTAAATATTATTCTATAATTTTTTCATACTCATCCTTTTATGCATGTCAAATATTGATATGATCGTATTTAATAAAATTAATAGTATTATAATATATTTGTCACAATAAAAATAGATTTGAGGAAAATATAAGAATATTTGATTTCTCAACATAGAAATATAGTATTTTAGACGGCTCGGTGTGGGCAATGTCCTTGTGCGTTATCATGACGTGACCCAAGAAAAAGCCGGTATAACGGTTGGAACACCTCCCCCCTTAGGCGTTATGACATTGCTCGTTTTCCTAGCAACGAGTGAGGCTATTGGCTTGCAATGTGGAATGGTAAAAAAAAAGGATCGTTGTAAAACCGTCAGAAAGTAAAAAAAAAAATTATTATTTTTCCATTTTAACTCACATATAAATACACATATTCACTTCATTTTTACCTACACAAAACCTTTATTTCACTACAACATATTACACACAACTCAATCAATTTCTCATTCAACAAATATTGATCAAAATCTAAACACTCTTCCTCCAAACACAAACACATACACTCCACTCAGTTTCGCACAATACAAGGGCTATGTGAACCTCCTCAACTCGCAAAACTCACAATAACTACCATTTTCCGACAACTTTTTCAATCTTGCATCGCCATATATGCAACAAAATCCAAACCTTCAACAAAACATTTCAACACATTTGTTTCCATTCCACAAACAACCACATTCACACAAACAACCATACGACCACCACCCACACAAGAAACGCAAATTTTAGTTGTTGAGACGCAAGCGGATGGTTAACTTAGGATTTAATTAAATTGCATGTGTTGTTAATTTATATGTTTTTATTAATATCATGACATAAATAAAAAAAACAATTGGAAAAATAGAAATTCAAAAATCAAAAAATAAAATAAAAAGTTATTTTTTTTATTTTTTTTTAAAACAACAAATCTACACTACTCCTAAACTACTCTTAATACCACCTATGTATTCAATAAGACTTGAACTCTCAACCTTTAGGAGAGAGGACACATATGTATTCAATAAGACTTGAACTCTCAACCTTTAGGAGAGAGGACAACACCTGATACCATTGGGCTAGAAACCCTTTGGTAAATAAAAAGTTATTTGGTGTTATAACATACGACTAAGATGGTAGGATGACATTTTTTAAATGCGATATTGATCTTTATGGAATAACTCGTTTTCTTATCCTCCTCTAATTGTTTTATTAATCTCACGTGAGGCACGGAAAATTATGGAAGATAAAGTAAAAGTCAAACAGACTGGTAACGTATACCGGCCAAAAGAGCACCGATACCAGGCAATAACGCTCAACCGGGAGAGGAGCCATGTCGACCTTCAGCAGCCTCTCATCTCCTCCGTCTTCCATGGTATACTCCCATGGAAGACCTCTTCGGCATCATCATCCTCTTCCTTTTTCTTCTTCCTTCTCGACTCAACTCAAGGTACTACTGTCTCTACATAAAGTCTTAAGTGTTTGGGATCATGAACTTCGATATTTGGAATGAAATTGGCGTGCATAGACTTCTAAATTTCAAGCACAAATTTCTGGAATTTCGATCCCAGACTTTGGAAGTGGCGTTCCCAAACATACCTTTTTTAATATGTTTTTTTAGCTGATCTGATGTAAGTTTCTGATTTGGTTTGAAGAGTAATCGGGGTTGGGGTCATGGAAGACTCGTTTTGCTTAAAGTGAAGTGCTTGAACGATCCGAGTACAGATGCTTCGGAATCTGGACCAACCTCACTATCTTCCAGTTCTTCCACTTCTACTGGCATTTCGTCATACAGTTGGTGTGCAGGACTCGGAGGATTAGGGTTTCTTGAAACAGCTTACTTAACGTACTCAAAGCTCACAGGTTCAGAAGCATTTTGCCCCATCGGAGGTGGTTCATGTAGCGATATTCTTAATAGCAACTATGCTGTCGTTTACGGTACTTTCTTCTATCCTCCGACATTATCATTACAGTTCACAATCATGATAGATACAGTCCATTTTACCTTTCAAGTTCATATGATTTATGTAACGTTTTTACAGAAATTATAACATTTACTTCTTCTATGTCATGTATTTGTCAGGTATTCCCCTTCCCTTGATTGGAATGGTTGCCTATGGCGCTGCAGCATTTCTTGCACTAAAGTTGGCTACAAAGGACTTGCCTTTTGGGATGGATGAAATTAATGGTGAATTGCTTTTACTTGGGACAACTACCTCGATGGCAACTACAAGCGCATACCTTTTATACATTTTAAGCACACAATATCCAGGAGCTTCATGTTCTTACTGTTTAGTCTCAGTTCTCTTGTCATTCTCCTTGTTCTTCACAACCACAAAGGTACAAAATTTCACCCTAATTTTAAATATCAAGTGAATGAAATGATTTCTTTTATTCTATTGTTATTTCTGCAGACTTTGGGGTGGCAAAAGATTCGAGGAGAATTGGGTTTGCAATTATGCATAGCTGGTCTTGTTTTTGCTGCTTTAAGCACCTCATATAATGCAACCCTTCCTCCCCCTGAAAAGTAACTTCATTCTTGATAAACAAAGCTTCTTACTTTTTTCATTTGTGAAACAAAACATTTACTTAATCTTTTACATTTCTCATATATTTGTTTTCTTGTGGAAGAGTTTATGAAATATAACTTTTGTGTATATGCAGATTTGGGGAGAAGTTTCTTCCATACACTCCAACTGAGATCAAGGCACCATCAAGTCCTCTTGCACTTAAACTTGCAATACACTTGCGTGCCATTGGAGCTAAAATGTATGGAGCTTTTTGGTGTTCACACTGTTTAGAACAAAAACAGGTATCACATATATATATGGTTTATTTGTGATTTATTATGCATAATTTGTGGTTCTTAAACATGATTTGTGGGTTTTGGTAATTGTGTAGATGTTTGGACGTGAAGCAGCAAAGGTGTTGGATTATGTTGAATGTTATCCAGAAGGGTTTAAAATTGGAACTGAATTAGGGAAAGAATGTGCAAAGATTAAAATAGAAGGTTTTCCAATGTGGATCATCAATGGTCAGGTGAGTATAACTTTGTTGCTTAAAGGAAGTGTTTCCATCTTTTGGAATCATATAAAGAAAATGGTTGCATTTATATTTTAAACGGATGGATTGGATTATTATTTATTGGTTATTACACTTACAAACTTTTCACATGTTGAAGGTTTTGAAAGGGTATCAAGAGTTCCCTGATCTTGCTAAAGCATCTGGATTTGAAGCTGGTGAATTCAGTGAAGAATTAGCAAAGCTAGCTAAACAAGCTGAAGAGGCCAACAACATTCAACCATGATGATGAATATACATGACATGTATGCATGAATACATGAACATGAAATGACCAGAGGGTTTTCATAAAACGACGTGTTTGATTATGGACGAAATTGTAGAAGAAATTGAGAAATTTCTGCTTTGTTTAATATTATAAAAGGTCCTGGTTATGGACATTTTATGAAGGGATTAGGTTGTTAATATACCAAACTTTGTTAGCGGATGTTTTATCAAGTCATATTGTTATACCATGAATTGTATGTATTTTGTTGATTCAATTTGTAACACGAGATCAAAATATTGTATTATTTATACCATTATTTGTACTTCTTTTTTATTTTATTTGTATCTACAATCTTGGTTTTCTTTTACATTTTTGTTCATCTTTGGTTTTGCAAAGAGGTATTGTTTGACACATTATCACCTTTACACATCAATTTACTTAACCTCATCTTTTTATTTCCATTTAGTTTATTCTCAACCATTTTGTATTTCATTTCTTTTAATTATATTTTATTTCCATTAAGTATATCGCATTGTTTAGACAAAATTGCAAAAATGGTCCCTGTGGTTGGCAAAATTATGTAGTTTTGGTCCAAAATAAATGTTGGTGCACCACTGGTCCAATTTTGGATACCTTGTGTGGTTTTGGTCCCTATGGTTGTATTTTATTGTGTTTTTGGTCCACATCCCACCTAAAATGACTAATATGCCCCTTAAATAACTATATTTTATTTTCTTTTACTTATTTTCTTATTCTTATAATAAAATAAAAAACAAAAGCAAAATAAACTCACCACACTCTCTCTCTCTCTCTCTCTCTCTCTAAATCTTTATCTGCCATGAACCATGGGATGTGGTGGTGCGTCGGTGAGCCACCAAGACAACAGCCTCATCTCTCATACTTCTCTTCTCCTCCTATCGAGCAAATCCACCGAACCCCCACCTGCTTGCCTTGTTCCACCGGATCATTCTTCTGTCTACCTTCCCTTCGAGTTTCATTGTTAGATACCGCCTCCATTCTTCTTTCTTCGAGTGACCCAAGGTCGGCGATTCTGCTGCTTTGCGTCTCTCAGATCGTTGCCGAAGACGAGGAAGAAAAACCCACGAAGGGTCACCGGTCTCAAAGAAATGCTTCATCCCTCTCGACAGAAGGACCTCTGCCTTGTTTCCCTTCTTCCTCACAAATGAACACAACGAGCCCTCATGTTCTTTTCAAATCGCCTCGTTCGATTGCTTTGTTCGTCCCCTCTTTATCCTGATTAAAACAAGAGACGGGGACTTATGAGCCCTAATTTCATTAAGCTCCATTCCAGCACCTACACAACCTTATTCCATCAAAGGTTCAAACCTGCACTAGAAAAATCTCAATCCTCCGGCCGCAAAGAGATCTGAAAACTCTAAATCCGACGATAGGTCCGACGATATTTGGGTTTCAGATCTAAGAAGGAAAGGCGTGGTTGCAAATGGATGTAGGCAAGCAGTGAACAAATGGTGTCGCGAATAATGGATGGGTGTGGTGGTGAACAATACCCCCAACGAGATTCGAGTTACAGTAATGGATTTCAGAGCTTTTCTTTGGAAGGGGGTGCAGGTGGTGTTCTGAAAAGGTAGAAGTGGTCGGAGAAGATTGTGGTGCTGGTGGTTCTGATAAAGGACTTCTGGTGGGTTAAAGCTTTTCGCTGGAGAGAGAGAGAGAGAGAGAGAGAGAGAGAGAGAGAGAGAGAGAGAGAGAGAGAGAGAGAGAGAGAGAGAGAGAGAGAGAGGTGTTTTTTGGCATTGAGAAGTAGGAAGGGTACATGTGAAGGGAGGTGGAAGTTGTAAAGAGATGATGAAAGAGAAAGTCGTGACAGTCGGTGTTAATGGTGGTGAACGGTGGCGTCAATCGGTGGTAATGGTGGCGGCAATCGCTGGTGATGGTGGTGCCAGTCGATGGAGATGGGTTTTGTGTTCTTGAGTTTTCATCAAATACAAAGAGAGAGAGAGAGAGAGAGAGAGAGAGAGAGAGAGAGAGAGAGAGAGAGAGAGAGAGAGAGAGAGAGGGTAGGCACTTTTCTCATTTTAAATTGATTAAAAACATTTATATAAATACAAAAAAAATTAAAAAACAAATATAAGGGGCATGAAGGTCATTTTAAGTGTATAGGAACCAAAAACAATAAAAAATCCAATTTTGGACCAGTGCAAAAAAAAATTTGGACCAAATCCACATAATTTTTCTTTGCCAACCTCAAAGGGACCATTTTTGCAATTTTGTCCTGTTTTTAATATGGAATTAGTTTTCATATCTATATTGCAACCTAAAAGCTACAACAAACAAATAATTTACTTAAGTAGGCTGTTTTTAATATGGAAATAATCTTCCAATAATAATTTTATACTCATAATTGAAGGACTTTACCCGATGAAGGAAGTCCTTCCAGAAATTCTCGATGGCCAAGGGAGACCCAAGGCCAAGGAGGGGGTTTGGAAATAGTTTTCAACCAGCAATTGACGCGCCTCGGTTATTACCTCATTAGCTGCGTCATTGCCCCAAGCGCAAAGATGCTTTAACCTTTCCCCCTTCATCTCTTTTTATATCACACCACCCCTCTTCCGTCCATATGCTCCATCCGATGTGGGACACCTAAAATTGTCAACTGCAGTCGAAAGGTGTTTGATTTCGAAAGGTGTTGTTTCGGCTAATCCATTCATAACCGATGGTGGTGATTTCGAAATTGTGGCTACGTATGATGGGTGGAAAATTAGGGTTTATGACGACTGGCGATCGATTCACGATGTTGTCTATCTCACAAGGGTAAATTTTTAACTTCTACTGTTGTTGTTGCATCACGAGTTTCTGCAACTTACACCTCTCAATGTCGTTCAATCTCTTGTCCTCCAACTATTGTTAAGAATGTTTTGAGTTAGATCGTGTTCTTTTGTGCGATCAATCCAATGTGGTTAAAATGCCCTTTTATAATATGGTAAAGGGTGTTCTATTGACCTACTTACGTGGTGTAAATCTTTTGGAATGATTAAAGCCCTTTTGTAAATGCTAATAGCTTATTCATGCATAGAATTGAACAAGTGGACTATGATGATTATGTATAACTACATGTATGTGATAGTTTGAAGCAAGTTTAGTGGTGGGAATTGGATGATATATTGATGTTTAGTTATCAAATGCGCAGAACATTCATATGCCTACATGTGGTGCAACTTAATAGTTACTTTTGAGCAATTTTGTTGTTTAACTTCTAACACTTTATTTTTTCCAATCAAACCAAAAAAATTTCAATCATTTTTGCACCGTTTTGTCCTGTTGATATGTATCAGGTGAATGTAATTTTCCAAATTAACCATTTTTGACATGTTATATCAGGTCAAAATGGTTAAACTGAAAAAATGTCTGAAACTTTTACGGTTTGTTTTGAACAATAAAGTATAAGTTGTTAAACCACAAAATTGCCCAAAAGTATAATGATTTTCCTGTAATTTATCCTAAAATAAAGCTTTCACATCTTGAAGGTTTTGAAAGGGTATCAAGAGTTCCCTGATCTTTGCTAAAGCATCTGGATTTGAAGCTTGGTGAATTCAATGAAGAATTAGCAAAGCTTGCTAAACAAGCTGAAGAGTGAAGAGGCCAACAACATTCAACCATTATGATGAATGTACATAACATGCATGCATACATACATGAAATGGCCCGATGGTTTTCATAAAACGACAGTGTTTGATTGTGGATGGAATTATAGAAGAAATTGAGAAAATTCTGTTTTGTTTAGTATATGAAGGGATTAGGTTATTAATATACCAAACTTTGTTAGCGGATGTTTTATCAAGTCATAAAGTTATGCCATGAATTGTATGTATTTTGTTGGTTCAATTTGTAACACAGAGTTAGAAATATTATATCCTTTATACCATTATTTGTACGTCTTTTTTACTACAAGTCTTGGCTTTCTTTACATTTTTCTTTGTCTTTGGTATTAATAACATACAAAATGGGTAGGAGGTGGAAGTGACCATAAGTGTGTTTGCATGCTTTAGAGAAACATTATCAAGTAAATATGATTATTAATTTAATAATACGCTTTTAAAATCACATCAAATATGTTTTCTATACATAAAAACTATATGGTTTTGGCTCATTAAGCTGAAGCCATTTCAAATATTACACTTGCCATTACACATCAATTTACTTAACCTGATTTGTTACTTCTCTTTAGGTCTCGTTTGGTTTACTAGATTCCTGATAATTGCAGCCTTGTAGGGTTCAATATCACTAGTTTTAGTGGAATTGAACTTCTTTTTAGGAGTGTCAAGATCCCCCCATTGTCAGTAGTTACATTTTTTACTTTCATTCTTGAAAAATAAAATAAACAATAGTAGGAAAAAGATTAAATCAAAAAGTCAAAACATATGATTTAGCATCCAAGATTATCTTCGGTCTATGATATTCTCGCTGGAGATGGCCACAAGATGTTCAGGTTGAAATTTTCAAATTTGTTTTAAAACATTTCAATAGAACACATATCGTTGAAAATTTAATACCAAGTCACGCAAAAAACATTTATGATACGAAATCCCTTAAAATTTGATAAAACAGTAAAATGACTTTGACTTTTCTACAAAGGTAAGGTATGATCAAAATTTTTATACTGGGAATTGTAGAGCCTTACCCAAAAAAGGGAGCCCTTCCAGAAATTCTCGATGGCCAAGGGAGACCCAAGGCCAAGGAGGGGGTTTGGAAATAGTTTTCAACCAGCAATTGACGCGCCTCGGTTATTACCTCATTAGCTGCGTCATTGCCCCAAGCGCAAAGATAATTCTTCTATTCCCCCTTCGCCTTCTTTTATATTACACAACCCCTCTTCCCTTTCATATGCTCCCTCCGATGTGGGACGTTCCTAAATCCCATTTTTTCTTCCTGCGTCTTTAATCACCACCATAAACAATTCAGCAATGGCAACTGAATGTTCTTTCAAGGATCCAACTATCGTCCGAACGTGTTGTTTCTTCTAATCCGTGGCTACGCTTGGTGGGAAATTAGGGTCTATGACGAGTATCGGTTGATTGATGATACGCTGTCTATCACAGAGTAAGTTTTTATGATGTACTGTTGTTATACGATCATGAGTTTCTGCAACTTACACCTCTCAAAGTCAATCTCTTGTGTGCCAACTGTTATCAAGATTGTTCTTTTGTGCAATCATCCAAATGTTGTAAAAATGCCCTTTTATGAGATGGAGCAAAGTATTTTCTTGCCTTAATTGTCTGTGTAGCTGTGTGTAGGTTTTATCCACATGCCAAAAACGGGTGTAATGATTAAACCCTTCTGAAAATAGGCTAATTGTGCGTAGAATTAAAAAATAAACCATCTGTATTCGAAATTAGTTGGTGATTAAGTAGAATTTGAAGCAAGTTAGTGCATACCTTGTTTACTTACCAAAAGGAAAGATATGTAAATGTTGATGTACATATGATGGCATATCTTACAAATGACAGATCCTTGGAATTTATAACCTGCAGAGATTAAAAATAACATTTCAATTACAGAAAAAGAAATAGTTCATATATTAAATGAAACGATAAAATCCCTAAGAAAGCTAACCTTTACAAAAGAATTTTTAAGTTAAGATGGTTGCTTTACAATAGTTGTTTAGAAATCCCCTCTACAAATCTGCAAGTTGTATTTACTATTTGAGACCTTGATTGTGTTTCCATAAGCATCAGCCATCATAGCATTATTGCAAATTTCAGGTCGTAATGCTTTTCTGTCTTTAAAGGACCCCAAATCAGAGAATTTTGTCTCCCAACTTTGTTGAATAATTGACCCAAATTTGAGAATTTCTTATTGAAATAAAGTAATTTTAAAAAAACAAGAAATAGTGTGATAACAGCACCAGTGCATAGACCCATCCATTGTCATCCACAATCACCACTTTTTGATTCACACCCTGAAAGCAATACAGGCCTCTAGCTTCCTTAACTTTCCTCTGTGATTTATTATTATTATTTTTTTTTTTTGTAAACTTTTTAGCAAATATAAAAGTCACACATAATGTTAACCAATGATAGCCTTGTACTTTCAATCCTTGTAATTCTAGGCAAACTTCATTAGTTTTAATAAATTGTTTGACTATTGGTCAAACACAAGAAAAATAAGAGTTAGGAGAGAAGATGATCCAAAATCATTCAAAATAATGAAATATAGAGAATTATACATATGATAGGACCTGGTTTGAATACGCAAGAAAATTGAATAAAATCGCAATAAACAATGTTAACAAATGTAACAGATGTATTAAATTACCAAGTTATCCTTAATTAAGAACTTGAATATCTCAGTTTCTGATTATTCAATTTAAAGCTCCATTTTGCTGTGGATATGTTCTTTGAAGATTTTAACAACAAAAAAGTTCACAATTTTTATTTTTTTTTTAAATTCCCAGGTTTAAACTAAGGTAAATTGCACAAAAGTCAGTATGTATTCGCAAAAATCAATTTGGACACTGTTATGTTTTGTTTCAATGTAAACTAAGCTTTCTAATTTTTGCAATGTTGACTATTTAACCGGTCAACCCACTTACCCGTTGACGTGACATTCTGACTTGTTAGTCTTTGGTGACGTGGTATACTCACATGACAATGTTTGGTTATGTGGCGTTGACATGACCTGATGACGAGTCAAAATTAAAAAAAGGTGGCATAAAAGACATTAAGTTTTCATTTTTTTTCTCAATTTTGACACTTCATTTTTTTTGTTCCAAATCGAACATTATTTTTTTTTTCAATTTTATTCGGTGTTGATCATTTTTCATTTAAACACATATCAATAAACTTGTTGGCTCTTGATCACCACTTTTGATGTCGAATCTTCATTTTCCGGTACCTATACATCATCCTCTTTGATTTCTAGTTCAATTGTTTTTGTTTCTTCATGTTCTGCCTCTTCTGTATGGGTTTCTTCATGTGCATATGGTTTCGTTTCTTCATGGTTTGGTTTCTTCGCTTTCTGGTTCGGTTCCTTCATGTCCTTGATCTTCTGGTTCGGCTTCAACATGTTCTGGTTCTTCCATTTTGGTTTCTTCAACATCTTCATCTTTAGCTTCTCAATTTCATCTCCTGATCCAACGTCTACCTCTTGAGCCACTTGTTCATTTTCTGGTTCTTGATGTTCTTGATCAACTATATGATGATCAAGGTGTTCGATAACTATATTAAAGGTCTCGTTGGCTTGATCTTGTTGATTGATATGGCCATCATGATCATATGTATGTTTGTTATCAACACTTCCATTAAACGATAAATTATCATCACAAGTTATCTCGGATTTAAGAATATCTTGATCTCCTACTAAACCTACACAACCTGAAGGCTCACGAACATGGATTTTGCCACCATCTTCACACTTCACCATGCAAGATATCATTGATCCCATGAGTTATGATAGTGATTGTGTTCTCATGGGTTATGATGTTTTGATCGTTTTGAGATGAATAGAGGGCACCCGATTGAATTTAATTGGAAAAAATAATGTTTGATTTGGAATAAAAAAAATGGAGTGTCGGAATTGAAAAAAAAAAATAAAAACAAAACAAAACTTAGTGTCTTTTGTGTCACTTTTTCAAATTTGATACCTCATCATACCACGTTAGCATCACATAACCAAACAATGTCATTATCAGCAGGCCACATCACCAAAAACTGACATGTTAGCATGTCACATCATCGGGGTAACTCTGAGTTAACCGGTTAAGTGGTCAACATTGCAAAAATTAGAAAACATAATGACTAAATTGTAAAAAAAAAATAACATAATGTCAAAATCGAAATCAACAGCTATTTTGGACATTTGGCTAATTTTTTTTACTATTTCTTCAAAAGTGATAATGGAATTAGGCTATTTGGTCTTTTTATTTTTATTGGACAAAACTGCACAAATGGTCCCTGTGGTTTGCTCAAAATTGTCTGGTCCAAAAAGGTTTGGACTAGCACCAGAGGTCCAAAGTTTTCACTTTGTTACTTGTTTGGTCCAATTTGTTTTGATTTTTTTCAAAATGACGGATTTGCCCCTGTTAATATGATTTTCTATTTTTCTTATTTGTTTTTCTGATTTTATATTTAAAAAAAATAAAAAAATAAAAATAAAATAAAAATAAATCACTCTCTCTCTCTCTTATTTGTTTTTATTTTTCTGATTTTAGATTTAAAAAATAAAATCTCTCTCTCTCTCTCCCTCCCTCCCTCTCTCTAAGGTTTCCAAATCACTGAAATTGGATTTTAAATTCCAATCGAGCATGCTCCCTTCGAGATTAATCGCTTCCATCTTCTTCATACCCCAAATTTCATCGGGAATTTCACAACCTAAATCATTGAACGAGAGATCAAGCTTAGTTTCTCAATTAAATTCTTGTGGTTATCATCCTCTTCACCTTCAATCTCTTCATCTTCTTCCCTATTTTTTGTTGTTTCATCTTTCAAGTTGTAACATCCGGATTCCCAGGTATCTTAAATTATGTATTTTATTGAGTTTTGGAGAGAGACTCGGCGAATAGGCGCTCAGACTCGCCGAGTAGAGTCGCGAATCTCCATCCGGGTTAATGACCGGACTCGGCGAGTCCATACGTGGACTCAGCGAGTCCACGATGTTTAATGAAACCCTAATTTCTTGGGTTTGGGACCTATTTAAAGGCCCTTATGGCCTTCAATGGCGGCTACCAGACCATAGAGAGAAACCCTAGAGTGCTTGAGCGTTTTGAGAGAGAAAGGAAGCCATTCTTGACCTTGGAAGTGTTGTTTAGCAAGAAGAAGGAGGTACTAGCCAAGAGGAAGCATAGGAGGTTGCTATTCTGTGGATTTGGAGCTAAGATCTTCACATTTGAGGTAGT